CAGCCTAGGCTGGTTTAAGCTGAATTTTTCAGCTGGGTAGGGCTGGGCGATACTGCAAAATTTGGTATCGATCCATTACCAAGTAAATACAGGGCCAGTATCACCGATATCAATACCAATACTGATACTTTTACTTTAAAAAGTATGCACTTGAACCCAAATGTACTTTTCTGTAGGGGAGAGCAGTGTGTGATGATTAATAAGTTGAATGCTCTCAAAGCAGCTATAATTAAGTGTATTTGTTAGCAGGACAAATTTTAAACACTTTTTGGCCAAATAAAAACATTTTTACTATTGTAATGATCTGAATTTGCAAACACAAACTTATTACTAGAGAACGATGATTTTTTTAAAAATGTTTTAATTGTTTTTAAATACATCTATTTTTTTTTTCATTTTTTCCTACTAACACACAACAGCAAAAGACAACTGACTTAAAACCATTTTTTTAGCTGATGAAATAACTACCTTTCTAATCAGTTTGGCCACCACTGTGTATTTTAAAATTCCAAAATAATTCATATGTTGTCACAAATGTATAATATTACTGGCTTCCGAATGACCCGAAAGTCCATTCTGAATGAATGGTGAAAATAAAAAGGGATATCAGACCTCATTTTCAGCTAAGTTAAGAAAAATGGTACTAGTTAGCACAATTTTCTTTCCCAAACACACGTTTTAGATGCCATTTATCAAACTTTAGTTAATGAACTCATTCTTTCACTATATTAGACTTGTCACTATACTGAATGATAAGAAAAAATGTCAATTTCCTGCAAACATTTAAGACACTGTTGATGGCTTTCTTAAAACAGCACTGATTTGCCATTGGCTGTTTCTCAATTCCAAGAACGCAGAGAACGGACTTGTGTTCTTGTGGAGAGCGGTCTTGCCAGGTGTCCTCGGAAGAACGAACTCAGGAGACTGTGAGGGCAGAGAATGCGTCCTTTGAGAATTGAGATGCTGCGTTCTTCCTGATGGTCACATGACCTTCACGTGTTTTAAATGGTAAATTATTTAAACATTACAGCATTCATGCAACGATTTATTGTTTTTCCCCTTTTCAAAATATATACTTTGCATAAAAACATTATACATATACTCTGCACAATATAAATAAAACAGATTTTAATACGAATTTCAGCAAACAAACACCCTTAATGTGTTTATTTCTTTATTAAGATGTTCATGGTAATGTTTATATTCACTGTTTCATTTAGGGAAACTCCTGAGGTAAATAGTTCATATCTCTGAACTTTAATAATAAATCTAAATAAAATTCTGCGCTTCCCACCTCCAGTCGCAATGACTTCTGGGACTTCCAGAGCGAGTTCGGTGCTCAAGTCTGTATCGGTGCGTCCTCGATATCAAGAACACATCCGGGAAGTTTCACGCGTCCTCCGTACTTGCGGTCTTGAGTATTGGAACTGAACTTAGGCAGCTGATGATGACGTTTCACGAGAACACGAGGACGCAAGACCGCTGAAGAACGCATATTGAGAAACAGCCATTGTGTTCACGTGCTCAACAGAAATGACTGTGATTGGCCAAGAAGGTCATCAGTTCCCCCTTTGCTGTTTACCAAGTATAAACACAGACGAGCAATCTGCTTGACTCGACTGATTTTCAAGGCTGCTTCGCGATCCACTGTCCGTGCATCTGTGTTTGCACTGGGTGAAGAGCAGTAAACTGATAAGCACTGATTAATACTATGGTAAATTAGCACTGTTTATGAACGCGCTCAGCGGTGCTTGAGTGTTAGCAGGAAATGGACGTTTTTAAAACTTCAGTACCGGGGCAACACTGTTACAGGCAACCCGAGGGTGTGCTACAGAGGACTGCAGTGTTTTATTGCTCACTGGTTACATAGGCTGAAGCAAAAAAAGCATCCCCACGGTGTTTAACTGGTGCCATGAACTGAAGCCTAGGAGGACACTTGAGCATATTACTCTTAAAGAGATTGTGATTTAGTTTGATGCCTAATCTGCTTTTAGTTGTTTAAATTAAACTTACTATATAATATTAAAGCGATGTTTACACCATTTCTGCATTTTAAAATCTCGGCAACAGCCGGAGGTTTATATTCCACAGCATGTTGCTGCAATGTTTACAGTGCTGGTCCTATACTTCCCACCGCAGCCTCGCTTCGGTTTTTTAAAATGGCGGCCACGTGAAATAAGAATATTGTCACTCACACATAGAGCTGAGATGAGCCAAAACAAACTTAACAAAATGTAAATCCTTGTAATGTTTTCTTTGAATGAGAAAACAACATATTTCTTTACATAATTGTGAAGAAAATGTTGTAGTCTACAAGACTGGTTACTTAAAAGTCAAGTTCAGGCCTATTCATGTTTTTTGGACCTACATTTTTTTTCTCTAAAACCTATTAATCATGCATAATATATATTTTTTCTAAAAACACAAGCATGTACATTAATAATTATCACATATTATTGTAGCACAGTTTGTGCTGAATACAAATAAAATACATGTTGGCCAGTTTTATGTAATAAGTAGCTCAAATAAGCACAAATGTCAGGGCATGTCAAAACATCTTAAGGCCGATTTATACTTCTGCATCAAGCGCACGCGTATGCTACATGAACGCATAGCATGGACGCATAGCCCTCGTCACTGACGTGCACCTCTCAAAAAACTTAGCTACACATCCAACAACGCGTAGCGCAAGCAGTGTTTACTGTTTACAAGGAGCTCCGGATGGAGACGGTTGCTTCGTGTTTACTTTATGGTTAAAGCTGTTGCACATCCGCCGGTTCCTGCCTCAAAATGAGCGAGTTTGAACCACTTGTACATCAAGGAAGTGTTCAGAAAAAACAAAACACCAGTGAAGAAACTCAACACAGAAGAACATTAACACCTACTGCCAGCTAGTGTTTCGGAAGTGTTATTGCAGAGCAACAGATAAAGGCCCCGTTTACACTAGTGCGTTTTAGTTTGAAAACGCATAAGTTTTGCTACGGTTACGCCATCCGTCCACACTACGCCGAAGTTCTCGAGCGCCGAAAACGGAGCTTTTTGAAAACGCTGGAGAGGCCGTTTTCATTCCGAAACGCTGCTGCTCCGTCTCAGTGTGGATGGGGAAAGACGGAGACATCTGAAAACGGAGGCTGGGCTGCAAACGTTCGCCTATCTGATTGGGGCTTTTCCTCAATATTAAGTAGCCAACACACACAGTTCAGTCTCGCATCCTCTTCTTGTAAGTTAAGACTTTGCAAGTTTGATCAAGGCTGCAGTCTCCCCCTTCTCAGTTTGATATGGAAAACATACCGAGGACACGGGTAAATCTTCAAAGGGAACAGTGTACTTTATAACTGCATTCACATCACCTTGGCTACGTTGTTTCACTTTCTCAACAATAAAATGTAAACATGATTTAAGGAACTGCCTATTTTCTTTTTAATATAAGCAACTTAACAGACAGCAGAAATGTTGAGGCGCCGTGCTGCATATATGAGCCTCATCTTCACTGTGTGAATATTTATAACAAAACAGAGCCGATAACAACTGCCTCCTTTCAATTTCAGTGAAAATACGAAACGCACCCTCTCTTTTGCTGAATATCAGTTTGAATAATCGATAATTATAAAAGTATAACATACAATAAGTTTATACATTGTAGGAAATAAAGGCAAGCGATCAGTCAATGTACCTGGATTAATCATTAACTTATCTTTGCGCTTAACCAAAACATGTTACCCGTGAACAAGTAACTTAATAGATTCCAATGACCAAAGTCAGGGAATTGGCCTATGTCGTTAGATAAAGACAACAACATGAATGAAATATCATGTTTAGCAAATATAGTGAGATTAGATCCAGCGGGAGATGCTTGATGAGCAGTCCGACAAGCAGAGCTCTCATCTGGGTAGAAATGCTGGAGCGCTTGCCCGAAAGTGTGTGTGGTCATGTGATGTGCGTTTTCAGCCTTTTGGTGTGGACGGAGAGCTGTTCAGAAACGCTGGGTAAAACGCGAGTGTGGACGCGGATCGTTTTCATTCTACAACGCCGTTTTAAAACTAAAACGCACTAGTGTAAACGGGGCCAAAGTTTGCAGAAGTATGAATGCACGGCTAAGCGCGTTGCATGCACCATAGGTCACGCCAATCACTTGATGCAGAACTGTAAACCAGGCTTTAGTGACCCCAAAATCACCTCAGACACCTGAGGATTAACCTCAGAGCAAAACAATGGAAGTCTATGCAATATCCTATGATATCCTAGGACAGGGGTGCTCAATCCTGTTCCTGGAGATCTA